CTGCTGCAACAAGACCCATAGATAGTATGAAAACACTCCATCTTTTTGAGAGCACAGTTCTGTAAGATAATTTTCATAGATTGTCTCATGTGACATTTACAATCTCTTGAAGACTTTTCGAGGTGATTTTATGTATTTGCCTTTGCGATTTACCAACCTTTCATTCATATTTTTATGTCTAATTTTTTAGTATTCAATCTCTTGCCAACCTGTGTAAATGCATGCAGATTGTTATTAGTACTTAGTGTGTTTTTCTTATGTTTCTTTATTTTACAGTTTTACCTCATGTGGTCCACCCACGACTCAGGAATGCAAATAAAGTAGTCAAAGTTCACATATCCTGTACTAGTCAGAGATTAAATTGTCGGAGAGAGGGCGCCCTCGGTGCTCCATGTTCATCATACACATTATTTCTATTTTTATACAGCTGTCAGTCATACATGCAACGGGAGTGAGAATCAAGTGGATGGTGTCGGGGAGGTTGTGATCCTGACGGAAGATATCTGTGATCCTGAGCCATTGAAAGTTAGGAGAATTTCTTCAACCTCAGAAGCAGCAGCAAAGCCCTTAACGAGCATTTGAGATATTGAAAGGGAGAGGCTGGCCATAAGGAGAGAGAGATTAGAAATACAGAAGGAGCAGCTCGAGGTTCTGAAAGAATTGAGGGCAAACATTGGGCAGTTGTGGAGGCACAACCTTAGGTTAAATATGATTAACTTTGCTGAAATGTAGGGAAAATTTGTATATCAAACAAAACATGTGAACCTTCCCAATAATTATACTTAATGCAAAATGTTCTTGCCTGCTCTTTTTGTCGTTTTACTTGATGCATTTTCCCCAATTTCTAAAGACTTATCTTAATTTGGACTAACTGAAAAGAGTTGTTAATTATTGTATAGTGTTGGAGTCAAGTCCATCAAAAGTCCCATGCAAGTCCATTATAGGCATCTGTTCTCAAAAGCAAGTCACAAGCTATTAAAATGAACTCAAGTGCATTCCTTTGCCATTGTTCACCCTGCTACTCATGACTGGTCTTGTGAAAAGGCCTTGAGAAAGGACTTGTGACGGACTCGACTTTAACGCTGCTACTGGAACTTAAGACATGACTAATATGGGCGATTCACAGTAGTGCTCCTCCAAGAGTTTGCAACACGTTGGTCAATCAAAATGTGCAAAATCTGTCAACCCTTTCCAAATGTGCATTGGGTCGACAGGTTTTGTGCAGTGTGATTGGCTAACGATTTGCAAATGCAAACTCTAGGAGTTGCACTATTGTGAAACTCTTGTATTGGAATGTGATTTGATGAGTTGTTGAAAAATAAAGCTTGCAAATTTGTAACATTCCAATGTTATAAACAAAACATTGCTTTCAGACTCTCTTGAATAAAACTTCAAACTAAATAACTTAAAATATAAAAGTTTCGTTTACTTGTCTATTATTCTAGATGTTACAATTTCCTTATATTAGCTTCAAGACAGTTGTGTTTATCCAGGATTAAAATTGTAGATTAGCAAGGGAAGCAAAGACAATACTTGAATTTTACCTACAGCTGTTTGACTTTGTAAAAAATTCAAATTCAAAAAAATCTGTCAATGATACGATTTCGATGAGCTACTCCATCCTGAAGTGGGCCATTATATGGGATCACGTCATGGTCGTCATCTTCAATGGGCTCATACTCCTCAATTTCTGGCTCCCCAAAGGTTTTTGACAAATTGAACAGAACACAGCACGCCCTTATAAAACGACATGCTCGTTCAGGATGAGCTCGGAGACCAACTGAAAGGCACGGGAATTTTTTTTTCAGCTGGCCAATCGTCTGCTCAATCCGGACACAGGTTCGTCTGTGGCACCTGCAAAAACCCCAAAATGGAAACTAAATTTGCATAGAAGTCACCAGTTACAAAACAGAAGACAGAAAGGATATATTCAGTTGATCATGTCACTGATCGGGCATTTTATGCAATATCGACTGACAACTTGGAGAAAGAGTCACTGCCCTTTAAATATTGTGAATATACATGTACTATAAGGTGAGATGCTTTGAACACACCAGGATCCTGTCAAACAAGACTACCAATTTTGTTTTAATTTGAAACCCTTTGAAAATGCATGCCAACATCAGATATGCCACATTGATGAAAAGGTTTTGACTTCGTTTTTAATGTGGTCCTTATGTTTACCTGTTGTAGTGACGTTCGGCATTTGAGGTGGGATCTAGAATGGGCGTCATGAGCCATTGCCGCAGAGGGTAGCCCGTGTCACCAATAAGTACTCCATGAAGCCTGAAATTCAATGGTAAGAATTCACTCAATGAATTTATAGACTCCTTACAAGTACAAATTGCAATACTTGTTGCCATGTAGTGTCCAGTCAAAAATGAGCTTTCAGGTTTGCTTGAAGATAACATTCCAAGCATAACTGTATTCAAATCTAATTGTATACTGGACAATAGTTACAGAAGAGTTATGCAACTTGCCAATAACTTTATGTGACATGTAGCCAAATGGTTAGGATTTTTAGCTGCAGATCACTGTGTTACGGGTTTGGACAAGACCTCTTTTTTGTCTCTCACCTGCCATCATTAAACATGTCACCAATGACACTGCCGTGAAGGATGGCACTATCATGTGTGCATCATGGCGGATCATGTGTGCATCATGAAGACGGATGTGGGTTCCATCTACAGCACCCACCACCT